AAGCAGACAACACTCATGCATCGAAGCCCCGCTGCAGCAACGGCAGCAGCAGCAGCTGCTGCTGCTGCAGCCCCGGTGTCTGCATGCATGCACTGCAGCAGCAGCAGCTGCTGCTGCTGCCTCTTTTGCTTTTTTAAATTAAAATTAAAATTAATTTGAAGAATTTGAAGACAGGAAAAGCGCCAGCAGCTGCCTTTGGCTGGGTGGTGATCCAGGGCCGCGACAAGCAGCAGCCGACAGCAGCAGCAGCAGCAGCAGCAGCAACAGCAGCAGCAGCAGCAGCAGCAGCAGCAGGGACGATGGCGAAGAGGGAGAGCGGAGAAGGGTCATCTGCAGAATCGCAGATGCAGGAGCTCTTAAAGATGGTGCACACACAGACACTCACCTGCTGCTGCTGCTGCTGCTGCTGCTGCTGCTGCTGCTGAGTTCCTGTTGTTGCTGCTGCTTCTGCAGTTCCTGCTGTTGCGGCGGCAGTTCCTGCTGCTGCTGTTCTCGGCTTCTTTTGCTGCGCACTTCTGCTGCTGCTACTGGCCAGCCCATTGCTGCTGCTGCTGACCTCCCAAACGGGCTTTCTGCTGCCGCTGCTGCTGCTGCTGCTGCAGGGCGAAGAGCTGCAGCAGCAGCAGGAGACGCTGCAGCAGCAGCTGGCCAGAGTGAAGCAGTCCAGACACCGCAGCGCCATTGCCATTAAAAGCGCAGAGGCCGCAGTCCAAAGCGTAGGCTCCAGGGTTTAGGGTTTAGGGTTTAGGGTTTAGGGTTTAGGGTTTAGGGTTTGGGGTTTAGGGTCTAGGGTTTAGGGCTGAGGGTTTAGGCTTTTCTGGACTTTGCTGCTGCTGCTGCTGCTGCAGATGCGGGAAGCTCGGCCAGAGTGTAAGGTGTACAGGCAGATAGCCAGGCTGTAAGCCTTGCTGCTGCTGCTGCTGCTGCTGCTGCTGTAGTTGCTGCTGCAGCATGTGCTGCTGCAAGATCTGCTGCTGCTGCTACTGCAGGAGCTGCTGCTGCAGCACGATTGCCAGCAGCTGATTTTGCTGTTAGCGTCTGCGTTCTGCCGCTGCGGCGCCGTTGCTGGCGCTGCTGCTGCTGCAGGATCTGCTGCTGCTGCTGCTGCAGCTGCTGCTGCTGCTGCTGCTGCTGCTGCTGTTTGCTTTTAGTTTCGTTTTGGAGCCCCGAGGCTCTCTCATAGAAGACATGAGGGAAAAGGCAAAAGAGACTCAAGCGGGAATGGCCCACCTCGCGGTCAGCAGCAGCTAGCCACAGCTAGCCACAGCTAGCCACAGCAGCTAGCCACAGCTAGCCACAGCTAGCCACAGCTAGTCTAGGGTTTAGGGCTGAGGGTTTAGGCTTTTCTGGACTTTGCTGCTGCTGCTGCTGCTGCAGATGCGGGAAGCTCGGCCAGAGTGTAAGGTGTACAGGCAGATAGCCAGGCTGTAAGCCTTGCTGCTGCTGCTGCTGCTGCTGCTGCTGTAGTTGCTGCTGCAGCATGTGCTGCTGCAAGATCTGCTGCTGCTGCTACTGCAGGAGCTGCTGCTGCAGCACGATTGCCAGCAGCTGATTTTGCTGTTAGCGTCTGCGTTCTGCCGCTGCGGCGCCGTTGCTGGCGCTGCTGCTGCTGCAGGATCTGCTGCTGCTGCTGCTGCAGCTGCTGCTGCTGCTGCTGCTGCTGCTGCTGTTTGCTTTTAGTTTCGTTTTGGAGCCCCGAGGCTCTCTCATAGAAGACATGAGGGAAAAGGCAAAAGAGACTCAAGCGGGAATGGCCCACCTCGCGGTCAGCAGCAGCTAGCCACAGCTAGCCACAGCTAGCCACAGCAGCTAGCCACAGCTAGCCACAGCTAGCCACAGCTAGCCACAGCAGCTAGCCACAGCTAGCCACAGCTAGCCACAGCTAGCCACAGCAGCTGGCCACAGCTAGCCACAGTAGCTAGCCATAGCTAGCCACAGTGGCTAGCCACAGCTAGCCACAGCAGCTAGCCACAGCTAGCCACAGTAGCTAGCCACAGCTAGCCACAGTGGCTAGCCACAGCTAGCCACAGCTAGCCACAGCTAGCCACAGCTAGCCACAGCGGCTAGCCACAGCTAGCCACAGTGGCTAGCCACAGCTAGCCACAGCTAGCTACAGTGGCTAGCCACATCTAGCCACAGCTAGCCACAGGTAGCTCCAGTAGCTAGCCACAGCTAGCTACCGCAGCTAGCCTCAGCTAGCTGCAGCTAGCCACAGCTAGCCACAGCTAGCCACAGCTAGCTACAGCTAGCCATAGCTAGGTGCAGTAGCTAGCCACATCTAGCCACAGCTAGCTGCAGGTAGCCACGGCAAGCCCCAGTAGCTAGCCACAGCTAGCTGCAGCTAGCTACATCTGACTGCAATAGCCACAGCTAGCCACAGCCAGCTAGCCACAGCCAGCTAGCCACAGCCAGCTAGCCACAGCCAGC